ACACACACACACACACAAAAGCAGTCGCCTATACACATCAAGAACTGCGTTGTGTCCTTCGTGAGTTTTGTTTCGAGACGTTTTTGTTCTTTTCACCTGGTGCTCGAAACGATAGACAGGATTTGCAAGGGAGGGTATTCAAGACAAACTATAATTTTGTTCAAAGACTTATAGCCGCCCTTTAAGAGTAACTTGGAATGCAGGGAATGTCAATGGAGACAATACGAAATGATTTTATCTAACCAGAAATCCCCCCGCCCCTTTTTTTTCCCCTGTCATCGAATTGACGCAGACATTTTCGTAGCACCTTTCGTATCGTTCTATGGTTGTGTTTATAGTATTAGTTTTACTTGTGTCTTTTCATTTCGGGCAGGGGAACTGGGGGTGTCTTATCTTCAAAACGTCTATTTTTACTTTTTACTCTATCCTTTTACCCGGAGACCAAAAGTTTGTCCGTATTTTCTGAAGGTTAAAGCTATATAGACCAGGAAAAGTTTCACAGCGCAATCCTCGTGACACTACATAATTTAGCTAAGGCATAAGGCCCCGCTCGAGGGTGGTTGGCGGGTGTTCAGGTGTGGTTTGCTCCTTCTTTCCTAAAAAAAATATATCGTCTGTATCTCCCCTCCTTCTTTTTTGTTTGTTTGTTACTCTCTTGTAACACCTCTAATATTCGGTACTTATATGACCTTATTGGGTTGCAAGTGCCGTAAAACTCCTACTAAAACTAAAAGGCCCCGCCCACACTAGTAAAATTACCACTTGTCGCGCGTCAGCTGCGAGTATGCAGATGAGGCAATTTTCGGTCGTTTGTTTCGTTTTACTACAGGTGACGTCATACTTCGCAGACCAGAAAGGTGTAACATTATCCAGGTGTGCCCGAGTGCTGACGTGTCGTCAAAGTAGAGTGCAGAAATAGGGGGTGTTTATTGACATGAGACCTTTATGTCTGTGCATAGGGCACATCCACTCTAGCACTGCCCAGGAAAGTTAAGTCAGAAGTCAGAAGATTGGGGACTTGAACATGGTTGGATATTTTTCTTCTTTTTTTTTTTTAATTGTTTTGCGGCGTTCGCAGCTGCATAAGGTTATATGAGCGCTCGGGACACATTAAACATTTCCATGCTGTGCTATGCTGTGCTATGCTATGCTGTGCTGTGCCATGCCATGCCATGCTATGCCATGCTATGTTATGCTATGTTATGCTATGTTATGCTATGCTATGCTATGCTATGCTATGCTATGCTATGCTATGCTATGCTATGCTATGCTGTGCTATACTATGCTACGCTGTGCTATGCTATGAGATAGACATCAGTAGGCCCCTCTCAAGTCGACAGAAGCCATCCGAAAAATGCATATTTGAGAAAATGGAAGGTAAAGTTTTTGGACCCTTGTTCAGTTTCTTTTAAAGACAAGGAGAGCTTTTTCTCTAACCAAACAAATATACACACCAATGAAACCAAGCTTCTCCAATAGGTAGGGAAATGCCCACTTTTGGGGTAGGTCAAGGTTTCTGGAAACCCTCGAAATCTGGATTAGCCCGCTTGTCCTTAAAAGCGACCAAATAATAATAACCCTTTAGTAGGTGGATCCCACTGCAGATAGGTTGTGGTGTATGACTTGCACCCCATCACTAGGCGAGTTGCACTAATGTGTCTGGCTGGTACAGTCAACTTCAACGTATATATATATATATTTTACATTCCCCGATTTGCTCAAACGGGTTTCTTTTCATGTCTAGGTGAATTGCGCTATGTGTCTCGAACACACATTCCCCGACTTCCTCAAAGGGGTTT